CACAATTATCAACAACTTTATTCTTTCCCGGTAAAGTTCCTTAAACCGCGGCCGCATTGCCTTTAATAATTGCAAGGCTAATGCGCTGCTTTAAAAAAGCTTTAAAAGCGCTTCGTTTGCACAGCGGAACTTTTGCCTCTAATGCTTTCTTTTTTGCCAGCTTACAATTGCTCATCGCGTAATTGTCCGCTTTGTTTGGCCGTAAGCGCAACTTATGCTGCGCCAATCAGTCAACAGTCAGCATAAATAGTGACATGCTCTGCAATACTTGTACTCACAATATTGCATACACGACCAACTTGACTCACGTCATCAAAGTAGAATCTGGACTACTTGTGGAAGATACGCGGGAATATTAATAAGCTCTTATTGATATTACCAACAACTCGATCGCGACCAAACACACAACACCACACACACGAACACACAGGGATCCCGATCAGACGATGGTCTGGCTGATCCACACGACTTCCGCTAAAGAACTATCTCTAGCTCCCTAACGAAGGTCACACTGACATCCGGATACTCAGCACTAGATTCAAGATGGAATAGGCGCGCTGAATCTAGAACCAAGTCAGAAATCAAGACTCGTCAAGACTGATTCTGTAGACCAGAATCACCGCTGCATTTGCCCATTCACTCAATGGACGTGTGCCAGCTATACCGTAGCTGCACCTTGTACGTACAACACAGCCAACTAGCGGTGGGAAGATGACGTAATACAGTGCAGTACTGCCCAGATCATGTCAATAGTTTCTACAACAATAATTTACATAATTGCTTTACGTAATTAATTCACATAATTTTCTATAACAAAACTGACTTGCATGATTTTCTATAACATTAACTAAATTTACATTTATATAGTTTCTATAACAATAATTTTTAACGAATTCATGGTAATATTAAATACCTAAATAACTACACAAGATTCCCTAATAAATACCTGTTAATGAAGCCAACCTTTCTTTAAGAAATAAATTTATTCGCCATCATCGGTCATATGTGATCTGTCCTCGACGTTCAGATGGGGTTTTCGTTGCAAGCTATGCGTAATAAAACGACACAGCGAATTATCATGCCGTACATAAACGACACAAACTCCACATTCGTTCTGGCATCAACGACCCATGGCATCCAATTTTCCAACAAATACTGCTTCAGTCAAACTTTGCACAGATTAAAAATAAACCATTTTCCAACGGTATTATGGATTTCACGGTTTAGCAATGCCCTTGGCTACTGGGAGCTTGGAATGTAACCGCTCGATGCTGTGATAACATCCCAGGCTCCGAGTAGCCAACTCGGTAACACAGTAACGGTGTTTTGTGATCCGCAAACAGCGCAGACCAGCCATCTGCTCCTTTTCAGGATGGGGAAGGCCGGAATACTGGCGAATCCGCTCCCTGTGGCATTCGCGCGCGATAGCGACTAGCGAGTACTATTTTCCGACTGTGTTAGTTGATTGGAGCACGCCAAAAAGTCAGTTTAAAGAGCGGAAATAAGAGATAATGAGATATTGACGGTAGGTAATGGTATACGAGTGCATCTGTGTGTAGAAATCAGTTGATGGAAATAACATGATTGTCGGCGAGAAATCGGCTCTGATCGTATCATTCGTACAGAAGCTTTGGCGGCACGGAAGCCTAAAATCGTTTACAGTTTACACCAGCCAACAGTCTACACTTACAGCTTTCAGGAGTCATCAGGTTAACAAACTATCTAGCCAAACGCTCCGGCAGGGGATAAAAGGTGGCAGTGGCACCTGCCACTGGCAACTGCCACCGGCAGTGGCATTGCCACTACGCGTTCTGGCAAGCGATAAAACGTGGCAACGGCCGGAACCTTGAAATGGGATGATTGTGCCATCAAGCGATAATTTCTGCATGAATTTTCTAAAAAATTCAGAAAGCGGTATGTCGCCTCTATAGAACTGATCGCTCGCCACTTACACCTGAGAGCAGTGCACAGCATTATGTGCTTGAGGCAGTGCCCTGTTTTGCAATGGCGCAAAAAACGCTTAGCAAAGGCACTACTACTAGGACTTCCTTGGGTTCTCGCGCAGTTTCTTAATCACATTTAGTGCAAGACGTTTTCATCTGGAAGTACTGTCGAGTTTAATATTTCATTTAGAGACTCAGTTTTCAATAATTATACCATTCGTGTAGATCGCCCTTCTTTCACTGCCTGAACGGCCAGCTTTTGTGATAGTGATACCCTGCGTTACTTCTTAGGTTATTCTTCGATTTTCTTAAGCTACTCTTAGGTCTTCTTGGGGTATTCTTAGGTTACTCTTAGGTTTTCGTAGGTTAATTTTTCTGAGGTTTTTTTGGGGTTTTTTTAAGTTTTCGGTCATTTCTCAAGAAAAACTAAGAAATAAGAAATAACCACAGAAAGATTAGAAAACCTAAGAAAACCTAAGAAACTAATGAAACTCAAGAGCAGAAGAAATCCTAAAAAACTAATGAAACTAAGAAAACAAAGAAAACTAAATAAATTAATACAATTAAGAAAACTAAGACTACAGTACTAAAGGTATAAAAACTGAAACCTATGAAACCAAGCAAAGCTAGGAAATCTGAGAAAATTGCATAGGTGCAATACCACCACCATAGCCACTACCAGTCCCATTAACACCACCAGTACCGGCACCAATATGCTTACCGTTACTAGCGCCAGTGCCACTACTAGCACCATTAGCGCAGCCATTACCAGAACAAGTACAAGTACCATCAGTTAGAACTACCCGGCGACTTACTTCCTTCTGAATTTTTCAGATAATTTAGGTATATAGAGATTATCGCTATATGCATAAACATCCCATTTCAAGATTCCGGCATTTGCCACGTTTTATCGCTTGCCAGAACGCGTAGTGGGAACTGCCACTGCCGGTGGCAGTTGCCAGTGGCAGGTGCCACTGCCACCTTTTATCCCCTGCCAAACGCTCCTTGTGCTTTGATGCACCGATCAAAGGTCGGTTTTGCAAACCCCGTTCTACAGTTCTTATATTATAATATTATTATAAAAGGAGTGAAAGCGCATTCAACGACTCGCACATGCAACAACCGTGCGAACTAACGGTATTAAATTCCCTAATTTCTTTATCCAATATGACGAAATTAATTCCGGGCACCGGTTTTATGGACATAATTTTGCCCGCAATATGCATAACGGGAACGCATTTTTTGCCAAATAGTTTGCATAGCGATTGTGCTATAATATTACGATTATTATAAAGAAATTCTTCGTAAATGTTACAGCGGATCTGCATTAAGTATCGTTCTTCAGTAAGCTGTAGCTGCTGCAACTACAGAAATTTGTTGCGCCGGAAGTTCCTGGACCACTGATAGACCGATATTTCGCCATCCCCCAGCGCAATACAGACAGAACACGCAGATATCTGCGTGGTATTGGGATGGGGTGTGCGGAAACCGGGCTGAATCTGGTCGGATTCACTTGCCCACATTCCCGAAACACAAGGATTCTTTTAACATTGTTCCGTTCGCATAATTCCATATTGCGCATAAATGGCGCAATTAGTCAGCGACCACTTTGTTGTCGTTCACTATTTTTATATCCCCCGTCAGATTTCTGGGCTAAGTATGTGTGCCAAATTCCCAGAGAAAGGATACTGGATGAGGGAGGGTCAGGCCATTTGGCAGCAGCTGTTTTTCAGTTTTTCCCTTAATCCACTACGTGGATCTCACTCGGTAGCCAGCGGTTCGATTCCGCTCCATCGCCATTTTTCGGAATTTCCTCAACAGACAGGATCTTCATCTGACCGCCCTCCCTCGCTGAGATCACCACGGACAGCCGACTTATGGCACGTGATTAGGATAGCGGTTAATTATCAATTTCGATCGAGAATAAAAAGAAAAGATTATATGTTTTTTTTTATTGTCGCTTTGACAAATTTTATTTGTTTACCTAATGTATCGAGCACGTTAAGCCACCGAAAGTTGCAACCCGTTGGCCGCTTCAGCAAGTAAGCAATTGACGTTCGGTGTACGTACAATATGACCACATTTTGTAATAATAATTTTACAAATAATTTTGACCTACTCATCACTGGTATCCCAATAATACCGCATACAGTGTACCGGAACTTCAAGCGAAAGTTCCCCTGGATGCACACGAACGTGGTGCTATGTACCGGGCCGAATCCCTTAAGTTTGAATTGCGGAAGCGCGCGAAGCTGGCGGTGTTTTTTGCGACCAGAAAATGCGAGAAAATGAGGTATTTTCTCACATGCAAGTTATAAGTTATTTCAATAAAATGAAGTTTTTTTAAAGAAAATATTTCGGATATGTTACATTTTGTGAGTACATAAGACTCGCGAAGGATGTTGTGTGGCCATCTTGCCCCGTACTCTGACGATGGCTGCGGTTTGCCAAAATGGTGACTGTTATATCCGGCAGTCGGCTGCGGTGCCTGAACTGAACCAAGTGATCTGGTCACTCCTAATTAGGAAGTGAACAAAAATAACACGGATCTTGATCATTTAGAGGTACTCTAATGGTAGATTAAGTACTCGTTCTTTAAAGTGTAAAGCAATCGACCACTGAAAAGATGGCTACGTACGCCGATCAGAAGAGTATTATTTTTACGTACGCTGATCGTATCGTACGATTATTATGGCCTCTGGACCGGCTACCCGAATTCACACTTTTTAGTTTTATCGCTGCACTGTTTAATTTATGTTTTTTTAACAAGAACAGTTTTGTTACCTTTAGTTTTACATTTTACCTGTTACAGTTAAGATAACGTTGCATTAATAATAACTCGCTAATTTCAAATACAAACTCGCCAGAACCTTCAAAGACAGCGTGTCTCATCTACCGTCACGTGACTTTTTGATATCCTAGGCCGGTATATAGTCGGTCCTGAGTGTACATATAATATGTCTATGATGCGCCCATGAAAGGTCTTTAGAGCTATTTATTAGCAAAACGCACAGAAAAACGAACGTGCCGTGTATTAAGCTAATAAGCCCTGGCCGGTGTATTAACAGCACAGTGTGGTCGGGGCATTAAAAAAGGAATAATCCGATTTTTCATTTCCGCTTCAAAATATCAGCGTGGCAAGTTAATGAGGACAAACGCACATCCAAATAGTCTTCTACAGAGTACATGGATACGATATACGTACGTATTCCACACTTTGCGTTTGAAATGAGCCCCCTTGGAAGTTGGAAGCGACCCCAGGCCACCGACGCAAAGTCGCGAACTTCGTGATGTTTCTCTTATTATTATTCATAACTTTTATTGCAACTCGGGGGTTGAACAGAATCACTCGTTAGTATGGGGTATCGAGTGCAGGACAAAACTAGCTTTTGTTGTTAGTCGTAAATAGTTTGATTGCACTGTGGATTCAGGCGGTCGTAATGCCGGAGCTGAAAGTCAGAATTCCAGATATCGTACTTCGTCCGTCGCTCCGTACTGTTCACCTCTGGCCACTTTGATAACACCCATGCAGTTCTGCAGCTTTCGAAACATTTCAACGTCTCCGCCCTTATCCGGATGGTGCTTTAGACAGGCAGCATGGTACTTGTCGTTAATCTCTTTATTAGTAGAACTCCGGGTGCAGCCTAAGAAAGAGTACGCGTTCTCCACTGCTTCGTCCTTGGGAATATCGAACAAATTCTGTGTCAACCAATCCACTAAGAACGCCGCCGTGCTGCCGCCCACCAGACTCCCAATAACCCCACCGGCAAGCGCTCCCACTGGACCTAACAGACCGCCTAACGCTGCTCCGGCCACGGCTGCACCACATCCTGCAGCTACCGTCACGCCCTGATCGACCAGTGATTTAGCGACGCGACGGCCGCTTATCTTACCGTTCCACCAGTGCGAGATGGTCCTCATCGCCTCCCAAGAAAGGTAGACCGCAGCAAGCGCCACTGGAGCTCTCCGGCCCATTGCTTTGACCACGTCTGCTGCCTGCTGGACAATGGGCATCAGCGCCGGGCTAACTAGGATCTGCACTACCGGCAAAATGCTGGCCTGTGTGGCAGGAAAGGCTGCTAAGCCGCTGGCGCCGCCCATGGCGCCGCACACGGCCAGGTCAGTGATATCCGGATGGCCCCACTTATGACGCACGTCAGGTGTAATCAACGAGTGATCGACACTCCTGGGGCTTTTGCTTTCCGTTTCCGACTTGATACTCCGCAGAATGGAGAGGAAGTACTATATGAAGATGTACGATAGGTAGATTCCAACTGTATGAAGCATAACTAACTATTATTATAATGCAACACGAAACGACGATACCCAGCCGTTACGTAAAATCCGCTTCTGTCAGAATTTGGTAGCGTATGGCAGGTGTTACGGATGGCAATTTGATAACTACTGTGCCCATACGCTCAAAGGAAACGTTTAGAACTTTGAACTTATAGCTTCCTAGTGTTCAGCGCATTTTAAATTGTTAAAATTGTGTGTCCTTGTTAAAATCTGTGTTCCTGACAAGCCAGTCAAAACGGCAACTTGCCTTGTCTGAGTCCACAACGTCGTACAGAATTTTCCAAATTCCAGATTTCTTATAGCCATTCATTTTATCCTCTTCTGCGGCCAGAAAGCGAGCAATTTCTGCATATTCCTTAGGATCGGTTACAATGGCTTTCAGTTTTTCGACAACTTCTGAGCGCCATTCTTTGTCAGCCATTTTGAGGAACAACGGACACTGTTAAATTACGTATAATGTAATTACAATCTTTGACCGTACACCGTAGAATAAAAACGATCTGGAGTGCTTTTTATTGAAATACCGAAGTCGGCTAGCTGGCGATCGAAAGACAATCCCCGCTTCGTCATACTTTATTCAACGGCCGGCTGCACAACGCACGTCTGTTCAGAATTCGGACTTGGTATTGAAGTATGTACATTACACACACGGAAGGAGTGGAGCGAGATGAAATTTATGATAAACAAATCAGTACGGTATGACTCGATTTATCCCGTAACGTGATCTCCGAGTCCAACTAAGTTTATGTCGTCTGAAATATCTGAGTCATTTAACACTTCGTTGACTAGCAGTTTTGAGCAACGCGGCTGACTTTCTTGGTGGAAGTCACCAGAAGCATCCTATTGGTCATTAAGATCTTCTAACCAGTCATTCTTTTTGTTTTAAAGAGGTTTGACCAATAACATCGACCATTAAGACAAAAGACATACACTCAGATTTACTGGCGATGAAAGAACTTGGGAACATCTTTTGATGAGATGTTCTGCTTATCTGCTAATTGATCGCATGGCTCCGCAGCTATTGTCTTTGCTTAGTCTACGCTGACCCGGATTCAACCTTTTATTGCCCTAGCGGTATGCGCGCGCACCTGATTGTTAGCTGCTCTGGTCGTTTTCCATGTATGCCTATCAGTCGAACAGCGGCATCATTGGGCAGTCTTCCCAAACTTCCCAATGCGCCCGATTTTTTTGTAAGCCATCGGCAATACATACATCGCTCAAAATTTTACAGTAGCGTGCTAATAGTGTTCAGTACATGGCCTGATTTTTGCGACATCTTTTATTTGCGCAATCGAGCGCTGTAACAGCTTGAATGTGAGTGTCCCAAAAAGATGGTGACTTCCACCATCCCAGTTCTGGACTTCCGGCTGCACTGGGTGTGTTGTGAAGAGTACCATTGGAAACTAGACGTTTTTTCACTCACACAGCCCAAAATTTGCTGTAAAATTATTTTTTTGAAATTAGTTAGTGATTTAATAAGGCCGGTTGTGGTGTGAGTAACCATGCTAGTCAACGAAGTGTTAAGCACAGCAATGAAGAGAATACTTTCATGTAACTACAGTGGTTGTATACTCATATACGTACAAGCAGATTTATATACACAGCTACTGTGCCACATCCTGTAATAAGTAATAGCGTAATTAATTTTTGTATCCACGGAACAAAAATCTCAATTGCTTCCCGGTATACCGGTATGCGAACCTAGGAAGCACAACCGGGTGTGTACTGTTGCCAGAGGTTGTATAATTTATCAAATCGCATGGCTTGCATCACGTATGTACTCTGTACGTGACAAGTTGACAATTGCTCATAAAGGAGACTGTTTATTAACGTTCGATTAAATCTAACATATTTTTAAGTGAAGACTCTTAAAATGCACTAATTCGAGTTTTCGGCACCGCCGGTGCAAAACATCGAAGCGGTGCAGCTTTCCGCGCCGCGCAATCTATTTTGTGACGGACCGTCGGAAAACCTAATTATCAGATCAATCGGTGTCCTTTTCAAAACTGCCTTCGGTTTTATCAAGTCCGACAATTCAGACCCCCTTCAGCATAAAGTACGTACTACCGTGCATATCTCTAGAAGCCATTTATAGCGCTGACCGCGCACAGCACTGCATAAGCTAAAGCCGACATTAGGCTAATCCAGAGCGGCCGAAAAAATACGATTTACATACCGTTTCCTGACACTCACAAATATACGTAGCCAGAGTTATAATTAAAGTTAAACTGGTTAAACAAGGGGTGTCTAGTTGTCAACCACTTTTTTCCTTTGTCATAGTCCTGCTATGCGTCGGTTTAGTTAGTTTAGTTTATTCAAGAGCAGACAAACCCTGAGGCACTCGCTAGTCTGGTCAGATAGTAATAAGAATAACAAACAAAAGACAACATTCAGATGACAGTACAGTCGAGGTAACATAATATTACAGAAGATTATTCGAACGTAAAGTAGTAAAGTTCAAAAGAACCACAACCGAACACCTCTTCCCCACGTAGTTATTTAGTCTTACCATAAAAAATTTTAGTTATTATTTTGCCCGTTATTTTATCATACAACTGCTTCAGTCTCATCTTCAGGGTTGTCTTCCCGATGCACAGCCGCGTGGTGGCATCGATCCGCTCTATACGGCGAAGCTCGTACCTCGCACTCGTTTCCTTGAATGACAGCAGGTTAGTCATGTAGGACGGCACATTAAAACTGCTCCGGTTACGTATCTTGTACAGCCATACCGCTTCCTTTTGCCGCCATCGGTCGGCCGCTGGTGTGATGCCCAGCTGCTCGTACTGGTCATGCAGTGCCCGCAAAAAGCGAGTGTTCCTAGTAACGCCGGCATAATTTTCAATGCTTTACTGTCCGGAACCTCGAGCACCTTTGTGGTTTTTCCACCTAGTCATCCAGAATTATTAATTTTGTAGATAAGCAGTTATTTTGTTGGGTGTGGCTATTCCCACCACCTTGCACCACCAGTTGGTTATTTTCACCACGCTTCTCCACCTTTAGGCTAATTCGCAACTACCCTTTAAAGTGAAATCGCATTCACCTTTCTGTCTGTTGTATACATTAGGACTTAAGGAGCTTTGGATAACCTCTATGTAGAGGTTATCCACCTACCTGCCGATTTATTTTGGGCTTACTGACTAATGAATAAAGCCAGCAATGCTGTTTTGAATGGATTTTGTAACCGTTCGAATAGTCAATGCATTTGTTGGTTAGAAATTTTCCTAACAATGACTAAGGGACGAAAGTAATGTTTTAAACTGAGATGGTCATTTGCAATCCACTGCGTTTCTGTAGTGCGGAAACGGTTAACCACTATGACAGACGAGCAGGCTCTCAGCGTCCGGCTCTGCTGCTGCTAGTATACAGTTCAGACATTTTAGTTGGCCGAGAGCGCTTTCAAGGACCCCATTTATTACGGGCACTCCAATATCCTTTACGATAACCCTACAGACGGAACGGAAAGGGGATAATAAAGTTGCACTTAAAAATTTTTGACATCTCAGATACCGTTCATAAACATCCAATCCAAAACAACAAAACATATCTCCATGAAGTAGAGTAGTGATGAAACAAAACAGGGAAGATCATAAACGCGAGAGGGCTCAGCATCAGAGCGGAACCATAAAACCCAAACCAACATTTACGGCAACTGTGTGCACCTTACCGTGTTGCTTTAGATCTTCCATAGCCGACAAATACATTGCGCGCACGAAGCTACCAGTGGAATCGATTGATGAAGTTTTGCGAAAAGTAGACGCTGATTGTTTGTTTGTTAATCCCTGAATTGTCGTTCGTTTCATAGTTTTACCTATCCAAAACTGCGTGGAGGGTAGTCCAAAGCTATCTACCCTGCAACATGCTGCATGATTCCAAATTCTGCAGCCATAATGCGCCGGACTAAATATATTCGCGATCCAGCAGAAAATGCATGGCGTTCGCCGTTTAAGGCATGGAGTACCAAATAGGAAGTCTACTATGGCTTTGGCGCACATTCGTAGAATCCTTTGGCACCTTGATTCAGTTGCTACAGACGTGCGTAGCGCTTTTTGGGTGGCATATTTTTTTTGTGCTATTACGGACAGAAACCGAAGGGTCACAAAAGCGGCGAAATACCCGTGTCCTGTACAACTATCTTAATAAAATTGACCTATAGCAGTAGGACCATGTTACAATACCTGTGCCGAAAATGGTCTGTTTTCCAAAAAGTATCCTCGATGCCAAATCCGAAATTTATACAGGGGGCATTCAATAATTCCCGCGCGCGACAATATTTGCAGTCGGTTTTTACAATAATTCAATATACGGTCAGTAATTTTAAAGACATCAAGCGATTACAAAAGATATGAAGGTCACACTAACACGTTCACCCTTCACGACAATTCGTCACAACGTTGTCACAGCATATGCTGTTTTCCTCTCCATGCCGATCGCAAGCTGGAGGTGAGGAGGAGAAAGCTGCGCTGCTACCAATAATGACCCCAAATGTCGGCTACCTTAATTATAAGTGAGATGATCTCACTGAGATCTAAGACCATACTGAAATAAGTAAGCAAGTAAGTAAGTTCCAAGATCATAGTTCAGTTATAAACAATAAATACTTTTGGTAATACATGCAAGATCAGAATTATAAAAAAGCATATATACGCATGTACAGACTTACAGTATATGTGCTGTTTTATGGAAATTTCTTATTTCATATATACTTCATTTATGTTTTTCATATGGGGAATCTGCTTTTAACGCTGCCGTGGAACCATAAGATCATAATCGATTTTTCTTCAATTAATTCTTTTTTGAATTTTTTTAGCTTGCGGGAAAGTCAGCAAATTTTTGACATAATTATGTATCAAATTAATCAAATCCACTTTTTCTAAACTTTTTGGTCAAATCGTACTTAAAGGCAAGACAAGGAAGGAAACACGCAAAACGAATAGATGTACGAGAGTAGATTTTTTGAGCAGTTTAATGAGATCGAGAAAAATGATTAAATCGTCATATACAAACACTTTTATCTGTTGCTGATGTATGGTGGATAGCTCAGTACTGACGTTCGCTGCACGCTGGATGCACATTCAGTTTTCGTTCTACTGTACGTACGGATGTACGCTAAATACAGCAGTAACGTTGGTTTAACGGTGTGTTCGACTCGGCTGAACAGAAAGTTCCTCATGTATTGCTTTCGTTCAATTACAGCAGTCACTTTGCTAGGTATGTTTGATCGTCACTACACTGTAGTGTTTTTCGAGCCCGGACTCGTGAAACGTTAACTGGTAGACTGCGTAGATTGTGGACCAGCAAAATAATAGTTAACATGCCCGAAAAGATGTCCTCGTAACGCTTTTGATAATTTCCAAGTTGCATACACGCAGTTTCCGTTAGCACACACACGGTTCTGTGTAATTTGACTGCTTTACTTCTTAGCTGACTGCAAAACTCTATTATAGTGATGGGAGAAAAAGTCATTTTTATACTTTTACTTGTTGCTCTTAGTACAGCTCGATTTATTGATGGACTTTGGGATAACACAGATTACCACGACGAAGTGGACGATAATTCAGATGATCCACCTGTAGGTATGGATTGCGCCTTGCTGCTGCATGAGCAATAACTTGAATATTAGCTTAGCAGGACAGGTCAAATGGTCAACTAATTTACGGATAAAATCCAGGTTCAGCTCGGATATACGGTTTTATAGTTGTCAGTGTTCTAGAGAGCTTACGAACTGTTCATAAAGCCTAATAATTATGCACCACATTTTGCTCAGCCAAAACTAACTGAAGGTTTGATGAAGGCTCATCGTCTGCTTACAGACTGGCAAAATCGCATAGATCCGGTTACCATGAGTGCCCATTTATCAGATTTTAATCGACAAAGTTCATTGGGAAATGACATCATGTTTGCTGATGCAAGCACCGGATGGGGCGCTAATACCACCTCAGGTACGGTCTGTGCCTTTATATTTTTTTTACCGCAAAAACACTTTATTCTCTTGGGAACACGTTACCAGTAAGCAATAGAAAGCGACAAACACCCTTTGTGTTTTGATGTGACTTCAGGGTCAGGCAGACACGTCCGAATACGCACTTGCACGCATTATTCTGTTTTACCCTTAAGTGAACTAAGAATGTCTGGGTAACATTAACGGAGGACGTTGTGGTAGCCCTGAGACGTTTTGGCTAGTTTAAGAACCAAAACGTCCGCCGAACGTCTCATACGTCTAGGCATTTGGACGATTTCAGTTTACATTGGGTATAAACTGGGCATACATGTTCGGCTTATTGCCCGAAGGAATCAAAGTTTTGAGCTCACTGGGATGGAATACAGGACTAAAGCGATATATCCCTATGCGTGGGCACCGTCGGTAACAGCCAGTGACCTCGTTACAAGCTGCGGGCATTTACAGTCAGATGAATAATTTTACTACGTGAATTTAGTGTTGACATAATACAGAATGGCAAAAGCTCGTGCAAATATTGGTATTACAGAGTTTCATACCTGCGCCTGATGATATTCATCTTAAATTTTACAACTAAAATTACGATTATTGTATTTCGTTAATTCGGTTTACAGCATTGCGCAGAAACAAAAATTAAACTACTGCTTTTTAAAAACAAAAACGATTTCCGAACACTTATAATCAGCATAACTTGTTTCCTGAAATACGTAGTAGATGAACATCGATTAAAGCTGAGATGTCATAAATCACAATCACCAAATAAGTTTCACGGTATGTTTAGTTGGTGTGAAAATTAACAATACACCCAATAAGTGATACTTTCCGTTTAATTCCACTGATTAAGACCCGATTTGCCCTAAAAAAAATCTTGCATGATACTAAGTATAAAATCTTGCTAAGTATAAAATCTTGCATGATACTATAGGCAGAAATGTGAACACTAAAATTTCCAAAATTTCTTACAAAATAACTTATAACACCGCATATGCCGATTTTGGATATAAAGTATGTTTCTGTTTTGCACTATTCCAGGAAACCAAACGCTGGTTTTATGGTCGAATGGAAAGGTTCCTTACCAAATCAGCGAGCTCTTTGGTAAGACTCGCACATAATCTGTTACCCTGGCATTAAAAATATGCTAAGTTGCGCAGTTTTGTCCGGCGTATTTACAGCATCCCAGGACAAGTTTATTATCCAGCAAGCAATCTTGGGAATTGAACGTAAAACGCTTCATTGTTTGACATTTACCCCGAGGAATACCGAGCGAAACTATATTCACTTTAAGCCTGGAAACAAGTATGTCGTTTACTTAAACTTAGTATTTTGAAGCTGATTATCGGTGTTCGAAACACCAAAATGTTGACCGAATGTTTGTTAAACATCGCTTCCCGACAAGTAGTTGAACGACATTTCGATTATTCTTAAAACCGCTATCCCATTTTTTGCTGAAGCCACGTCGCTGATCGAATACTTACTTTTCAGTTAAGCTTTTAGATTTATTGGGTTTTTTAACCTTTTTTATCGGTCGGCAGCTTGTCGTCAGCAAATTATCGGTGTTCAGCTGACAGTACCACATCCATAAGTCGATCATTGATTTGCCGTTTCAGCAAATCATCATAATTACACTTTGTTGGCCAGGAAGATATGTAGTTGGTTTGCAAATCATTTGTGTAGCGATGATTACTTTGTATATTAACTTTAATACAGTTGCTCATCCTACGTTGGTTTCCATGGCGGAATCCAGCCCGTATTCTTGGATCCAAATGAATGCATAAAGATAGGAATCATTCAGCACGAAATTCTGCACGCACTCGGTTTGTTTCACGAGCATAGTCGAAGTGATCGCAACGCCAGTGTCATAATTTACGAGAGTGGGATACTCGAAAACCACATATCGCAGTATCGCATTATTCCTAATATGCCTACTTTCGGAACGGAATACGATGTGGAATCCCTAATGCACTACGGGCCATTCGAGTTCGCTAAATCATCCGACCACCCGGTCATCATCCCCCGACAGCAAGGCATGTATCGCATGGGGCAACGCGAGGGTTTAAGTGTGCGGGATGCCGCTAAATTGCGCAACGCCTACAAATGTCAAGTTCGCCAAGATTATCAGCAAACCGGCGAAGAGGAACAACTATTTCCCGGCTTCTCATATACACCGGTGAAGGCCGAGCAATGTGCGCTACAATTCTCGCGTTATTGCAGAAATCCTTTTGTCACCCGAGAGAATTGCACGCAAAACCGAATATTAGAAATCACCTGCGACATATCAGCAACGGATACAGATATACGACTTGTGACAACTGCATTGGGAGAACCGCCACTGAGACCCATAACTGTGCAGCTTACGGAGCAGCAAGTGACGACGCAGGCTTTGTTCCCCGTTGAAAGACTGGTTATTAGTTTGGTGATTCAGCCGTGTTCCGCTCATGATCCAACGGCACAGCTACCACGGTTTTCCTTTGTTAACCTTCAGCAGCTTGAGTTGGTCAACTGTTGGGATCTCCGAATCAGGAAAGCTGATTTTCAGCTTTTACCCAAGCTAAAATTTATTAGATTTATGATGACCACAATTTTGTACTTGGAAGAAGGTACCTTCACTAATTTGCTCGAACTGCAAGCCATTGCATGGCACGAAAATCTTTCGAAGAGTTTTCCAGTCAGTAGTGCTGATTCTTTTAGTTATTCCGGGACTGATCATTTAGCGGCTGTTAGAATGCGAAGCTATTTGAAGCGGATCCACTGCGATTGCGAATACAAGTGGTTGAGAAAGTGGCTTAAAGACAAGAACATGCTTAAAGGCTCGCCGGCGAATTCAGACTATTTCTACAACGTCGTTAACGGCGGCAACATAGAGATAGAATTAAATGATGTCTACATTCCAACTGACTGCGCTGTGACATCCTTCCCGGCTGACTTGAGCATGATCAACATTAATTAAACCGAGTTCTCTATCAACGAACCACACTGCTCACCAGGCATTACCAATACCTCCTACGACGACCTCAAACTGCGGCCAACTTTCTCTTCCTCTCCAGCTGGCGTTGCACAATGCTACATGCAATTTGGACGGTCATGCAAGCCGAGCGCTCTTCTTTTTCTGCATCCAACCGACGATACAGAAATGCTGGCAGCAAAGGAGAAGTATTGCCAGCAATTTAATCTTGAATCGACCCGTCGTTTAAGTATTGGATGCTGGTCTAACAGCACGGTGAGGGATGTGCTGGAAGTAAGTTCCGCTTTGGCCAAACCGCCGACACGCGATGTGATTTTGACGTTGTATGACGGGGAGTACATCGTGTACCGTTCGTTCGCGCCGGTCAGAAGCCAGGTCTCCGCCATGCAGGTTCTCGAATGCGTCGGAAATCGTCCCACAGCCTACCTCAGGTTTCTCAGGATGAGTAATCTGGACCAGTTTACGGTCTTTAACTGTCGGGATGTTGTCGTACATTCCGAGGACTTTACAGCGGCTCCTGATATTCGTGTTCTATTGTTTGCCATGACAACGGTTGTCTCCGTTACGCCCTTCACCTTCAGCACTTTACCCCACCTCCAGATTCTTTCTTTAGAATACAAAATAAGCGAAATATTTCCCGATGGACTGCCACCCGACTATCATCAGTATCTTCTTAAGCTTCATTGTGATTGTGAGTTTTTCGAGTATCGTAACTGGATACAGTCGCATATTATCGATAAGACGCGCATCTGGTATGTCGATGACATCGTTGGCTCGAATATCACTGTGCAGTCGGTTTGCAAAGATACCGCAGTATGACATGCCGGAGCGATGATCGCTACGTTGAAGCCCAGAAATTTGGACGTTGGAAGATTAGAGGGGTGGGCCTGTCTAAAAAAGGAGGACGTGTTTCTATCTGTTGACTGCTGGGATGCACTAACTAGCCGTACTCAACCTGCAATACACTACCACCAGAGAAACTACTCCATCAATACTCCAGTATGCAGCAAGGCTGCCACACCGACCTGTTGTTCATCGATATCGCAGAAATGCTGCAGTAATACAACCAAGATGACACAAAACGCTTCCACTCCCGGTATTGTTCGCTTTCCTGACAGAAATCGAACAATTTCGCTAATAAAATTGTGTTTGTTTCAGATTGGATGGTGAGCCTGAATCAACAAGTTGTTAAAGAGAGACGATCTGAACTGACTGCAATCGCAGTTGATGCAACCGGCAGGTTGTACCACTATGACGATCAAGCACTGAGTGAGGATCCTTCTCTGGAAACCGGATATTTACCGCACGAGAAGTTCTGGCCAAACAATGGCATGAACATCCCTTATTTAATTAGCGATAGCTTTGGTAAGTCAAAGCATGATGCCGTATGTATGTGTTGGGCAACTGCATTACCAACATTCCTCTGCTATAGCTATTCGGTAAGGTTGCACCACAGATTTCGGTTTACCAAAAAAGTTATCCAAGCTAGAGTCCTGCATGAGCAGCAAAAGTGCTGCTCAACTCGCTCGTTTCTGCTTTTTTAAACTTCCTGCTCGCTCAGCTCGCTCGCGCCCAAACCGCCGCTCGCTCAACTCGCTCGTTTTCCAATTTTTCTTTGCTTCCGCTCGCTCGACTCGCTCGTAACTTTATTTTGGCAAATCGGCTCGCTCGTGAGATCGGCAAAAATATACGTATCAATTTTTTTGCACGAATTAATTATACCAAACTTTTCATCAACACAAAAACTCAGTAAGTGTAATTGGATGTTCAGAGGCAATCACTTATATCTCCATACATCTGGTAGTCCTTTTCATTACAGTCCGTTTCCGTTTCCGTAGTCCGTTTCATTACAGTTTTCCATTTTTTCGCTAATAGATTTCTCTAATTTTCGACTGGATGTAGTTTTCTTAATTTAGCCTGAAATAAATTCATATAATAGAATGCCCGAAAATTAAAATGCACCTTTCTTAGAAAGCATTCAACTGATTCATAAACCCGTCAAATAGTGTTTTTGTTGGCTATGAGCACAAAATATCAAAAGTTAGTCCTGAGTCCCAAGTGGTCTAGGAAAGTTAGTACTTACATCACTTCGCGCGAAGCGCGAAGGTGACGGTGGTTCAAGATCGTTTTCAGGTTGGTCAATGTAATTTTGTTGTTTTGATTTTGTGCTAGCGGCTCGGCTCGTGCAGGGCTCTAATCCAAGCTGCCCGGTGTGCGATGCCCGGCAGGCATAGGCAGAACCTGAAATGACAGTGTTCGATTTGGTTGGGTTACTTCATCATCGCCATCCTGTTGCATTTGCCGTTTGTTTGCATTTTTCAGCTTCACATTTGCATGTAACGTCGTGAAAACCGTGCTACGCTCTACTGTACCATTGCATCGGTACAATCTACAGCACCGTTTCGAAAACCCTTTGTCTTTCAAAAACTGAATTCCAGTCAATACCATTTCGTTTCCACTTTTTTTATACTTTTCTAATTTCTTGCTCCCAATTTCCATGTCTTACTATGATTGTGTTTGTAGTACGTTGTTGTTATTTTGATACATTTTATACTAAATTCTTATTGCAGATTCGTTTGCTACCAGTAAGAACAAGGAAACAGAAAATTTCCATAATTAAATTTTCCACTAATACGAAAATATGTACAATGGACATTCAGAATAATTATATGTGAAATCTGAAAAGAAGGCTTTTCTCTACAGATATAAGCGATTTGAAGCGGCAGTGTTCTTCTATTTATAGACTGAAAAGGCTTTCCGTAACGCTGTTTTTGAATGGATCATTAAAAAGTACGATTTCATTACCGCATAAGCAAGGTGAAATAGGACGGATCTGCAATCTCGTCGAGTGGCCATAGCTACCAGCCAATACTTAGTCTTTATCTGCTTGATCGATATATATGTTTTGATGTTTAAGATAATGCCGACTCTGCCGAAATTCAAGAGGCGCTGATTTCTGTTTCCGACCAAACTTTGCGTTGTATAACCTTCAAGCCGAGGTTGAATGAAAGTGACTACATTATGTTTTTGCCAGGAAACCGGTGAGTTAACACTTACTGCTGTGATGCTGTTGTCTTGGACGCGCTCGTGCAAAGTGCTTGACATAAATAGGATATACATTTCTGCAGCGTGGTTCGCCAAGCTATTCTTTCAATGATCAAAAGCGGCGGACTGGGTATCGCTGCAAGCGAAGCCCAGTTCACACACGTTTACTGGCCGAAGATACGGTAGATCGCACGTTATTCTGTTCCAGATGCCAATCACACATCGGTAAGCAGGGCGGTCAGCAAAACATCTCTTTGACGCCGGCGTGTGTTTTCCGCGGTGCCATACAGCATTTACCTCTCCATGCACTGGGACTATTTCACGAGCATCATCGAGCCGATCGTGACGACCACTTGTACATTTTCCTGAACAGGACGGAACTTCCAAAGGACAGCGCCGTGTTTCGCAGACTTCCAAACATGTCAAATTACGGAACAGCCTACGATTTGGAGTCGATCATGCATGTCGGAGCATTTGACTTTTCAAGCCCTGAACAGCCGGATCTTCCGGTATTCCTTCCCAAATTAACTCGAAGCGAAAAACGTATTCACATGGGGCAAAGACGCACTTTGAGTGCGAAGGATATTGTCAAGCTCCACACTGCCTACAACTGCACGATGCTGAGAACTACTCATACGCATACTACGGAGCCACTTCCTCATGTGCGCAAAGTTCCGAACTCCCTGGACATGTGCACGACTTTATCGAAATTAAAATGCACTCGTCAAACGCTACTGGAATGTACCCAGATGAAGGCATTCGAACTTGTATGTGACAGAAGCACTACTCCGGAGGACTGGATAACCGCCGCCTTGACCGTAGCTAAATTTCCCCTAAGCGTCATCCAGTTGATTCTGGCAGATAGTCTTCAGAGGGACAAAGCGCCCAACGCATTTCGACCTGTTCGGCGGCTAGTAGTTGATGTGTCGATCTTTATGTGCAGGGACTGCCGTTGTACAAATGTGCTTCCTGTTCTCGGCTTTGTGAATCTAATCAGTTTAAAAATCGCTTTCGGCAACGGTTTGATCTTGAAAAAAGCAGACTTTCACACGCTAAGTAATCTACAGAGTCTGATCTTCTTTATTACAACGATACACAGTCTCGATGTGGGAACGTTGAGCAATCTGCCCCGTCTGCGATTGCTGAGCATGGAGATCGGTGTCCTCCGCAATGATTCATCTGAGATCAATACACTAATGAGCACCAGCCATCGCCTGCAATACCTTTACCAGTTACACTGCGGCTGTGAATTTGATGATTTTCGCCTGTGGCGAAACAACAACCAGGCGCTTCACTGGAGCTTGGAGGATGGCGAAATTGTTGCACTGGGTGGCTTCTTGAATTTTGGTCAGTTCGAGAAAGGCGACCTGTTCTATCCGGTAGACTGCTCGGCACCCCTTACACTGGATGTGGACAAATTTATCAAGTTTAATCAACAAGCGTACTCCGTTAACGAACCTTCTTGTAAGTGATAGCTGTAGTTGTCATGTGCTGTTTTGCACCTGTCTAGGAAAAGGCAAGAACTGGTTAAAATAATAAGAAGATATTAAGAAGAGCGCATCTAGCATGAAGAGTGAAGATAGCTTCGGTCATTTCTAACCACACGCGCGAGGTGGTTGCGAGTCCTGGCGGCATTTTCAACTTGTTTTGCCAGCTACCTGTACTCGAGAGATACAGTTGCCGTCCCGATTGATGCCCTTCGAGTTGCGTCGGCCTTCTTTGCCTTAGCCCGCCCTTTGCCATTACAGTTTGCCCTTTTCAATCCTACCTTTGCTTTTGCCGGCGTGATTACCTTCACCGTCGCGGTTGACCTTTGGAAAACACTGTTATCGTTTCGAAATGCGGCTTTCTTATTGTATGATATGCAGTTTAATTGCATAGACTTATGCAGTTGCATAGCTAACTTCAGTATGTCAAACTAACTTCAGTACAGGTAAAACGAGTGATACATTACCGCGTTTTAATGATGTTTTTGCTATGATTGAGTGCCATACTACTCTCTGTAATGTTGCAACATGTGGAAGTCACAACGGTTTTTTGTGCGAATCGGAATATTAAAATTTTGCTAATTTCGTGCTGTGTACAGTAATTGCCAATACGTACTTCTGTATAAGTTTAATTTTAATGGATCATTGATCATCAATCACCACTAATAAAGCCGAATTTTCAAACGATAAAGTGACGACGCCAATATTTTAGAGGGACAGGTTTTTGAAACTGTATTTTTCAAACGTCACCCGGGACGATGATGGTTATCCAGCCGGCAAAGGCAAAAGTAAAGTTTAAAAGGGCAAACTGTAAACGCAAAGGCAATGGGCGGGCAGCTGCAAAGTAGGCCAACCCCATCGAACTACTCAAGGGTTTGCACCACGCAAATTTTGCTTGCCAGCCCCCTGCGATGTGGCTATTGGTCGATATGCAAGTATTTTCGACCAAAATACCCTCGAAACTTCCGGCGATCGATGTAGTCTTTATTCCGACCAAACCGTCCGGCAGGCAAGAAAACGTCCGCCGCCAATTTTGTTAATTTCGTGCATGTGCCGCTCTGTTTTTGCTGAATTCCTGTGCGGTCTACGACTGACGGAAATGTTTCCTAGCCGGGCACTATAATCTGCACACGATTTGCGCCTTTGAATCGGAGCACTACGTATTTAAGCTCTGACACTTTGCCCGAATTACGATTGATTTCCGGAAACCTTGGTTGCACCATGATTTATGTCAGAACGCAATACAGCAACAAGCAAAACAATACAATACAATGCGCAGACCAAAGTGTCCGGAAATAAATTTTCCAGAAGCGGTGTGCGCCAAAAAAACTGGTTAAGCTAAATTTACGGCGAAAGTTTTTCTTACCATAGGACGGTTCGTCTCTGTAACATCCAAATCTTCCGCCGGACTTCTTCGTCGTTACACTCGAGTACATTGCAAAGTTGAATGTTTTCCTACTGAGTTCGTGCAGAACGGTTCTACATGCGAGTTGTTCGTAATCAGAAAATGTATAATCGAACTCAAAATTATTTTTTTAAATTTAGAACATCAGAGAATGCGTAATGCGTATGCTAAGAAATTGTTGAATACAGTGCTTAACAGCGCTGACTTCGGTTAGGTGATGGATGGACCGCACCAAATACGCAGTCCTGTTTCACTTACATGTCTCCTTGCAAGAGCTGTAGTGGATCCGCAACTTAAACGAGGTACGTTATGACACAATATTTAATGATTCTGGTGTAATACGTAGCGCTGCAAATGCCGTGCTCTTTCTGTACTGCGGTGTTTTTGCAGCGCTGTTATGGCAGCTGCGCGCAAGTTGCCGCTTGAAAAGTTCAGCGGGTTTTTGAGCCCTGCTACGCCACACGCGGGCAGTAACAAAATTTCCTTTACTTTGAATGTTGAGCCTACCATTTTTACTTCATTCTTGTATGGAAGTCCTTGGTCTATAGCAACTTTGCAAAGTATGTTTCTATGCAAGAAGACAGAAAGCAGGGGATGAGAGACAAAGTTTTACTTTGACCTTTTTCGAAAACATCAGGTTACTTATCCAGAATTTACGGTCTTGGTCAATAACACTTAAAAAATCGTAGGCAAAGCAAAGAAAGAAAATGACAGCGAAGGGTTCTAATGGACCCTTCTCATCGTCCGTTTAATCTAATGGCATCGTCTCTACGACTGTTTGTTTTCTAGGCATGTACATTCTTTGGAATGTACCCATTACCATACAAGTCTATGGGAGACAGAATTACATAGTTTCCCGGTAATCTCTAGCACTGATTGCTGGTTAACTTCGTTAACCAGTAAAGGGTACCTCTTGGGTTTGTGAATATTTTACTAAAAGGTCAACTCAGAAATAGTTTGTTGAAACTGCTAGGGAGCCTACAATAAGCATCTCTAAAATGACCACTACCCCTTCCCTTAAACACGGCTGGGCTTGCTAATGACAATTCAAAAGATCACAGTTTAAGTATATTTGAATCCGCAACAAAAAGTTACACCAGAAATATGTAAAGAAGAAAGCTAAACGGCGCACAGAATTATTTTTAAATTTATTTTGTACAGCTGCCCGCATGTGGCGGAGCAGGCTGTATTTTGGCCGGGGAAACAGCGTAAATTTTAACTCAGTGCACCAACAAAAATCAAAATAAATCCTACAAAATTCACTCACCAAAATAGAATGTTGCGTACGCGCCGCTAAATCCGGTTAAAATTATGCTGCAATGACCACTAGCAGCAGAAAGCGGGATTGGGAAAACGGGAATGATTTGAAAACTATGGCCAGATAAATATTTTCACAACTTTGACTGAATGGAGAGAGATTTAGCTACACAATGGTGTGACGCGATCCTGTCTGCCCTCTGTCTAAACCGAACTATTTACCAAACAAAGAAAAGCCTTGAACCAAAAGTTTAATGAGAAAGTTTTTGATGAATTGTGCAATGTTGTGTGTATTTTCCTCGGGAAAGCTTGTATACCGAAACTTTTAATATAAAAATTTAAAATGCTTCAACCTACAACGCAAAAAAGAACACTTTTCGAAAACTTTTTTCCGCAGTTATATGGAGCACAATCTCTTAGGCAACATTCAAGTTTCGGTTCATATGATTTCTAGAAGAAAATACGCACAACAATAAAACACAGAAACCTTCTCATTCAACTTTTGGTTTCAAAGCTTTTTCTTTATTTGATGAGTAACTTGGTCTAGACACAGGCCAGGGAGGATCGTGTCATACCATTGTGTAGTAAATCCTCTCTGCGTTCAGTCAAAGTAAAGTTGTGAAAAAATATATCTGGGCATCTTTCCTAAATAATTTCCGTTTTCCCAAACCTGTTCTCTCCTGCTATTGATCCCGTTAACGGTGGAAAAGCTTCATGTCGAGGGGCTGCTAGCCAACCGCGTTTTCGCTCCTGCACTACATATAACGTTAATCACCCAGTCGCTGATGTCAGTAAGGTTTCCGGATTTTAACACTCCATGCGTAACACTATTTTTTCATCGCAGATACCGTAATTATCGAATTTGCACCCCTGGGGTGCAAATAGTTCAAACGTCCTAGAGAAGGGGAATTTCGGGGAGGGGACGCTATTTCGGGGGGTGGTACTATTTTTCAAACAGCTTTTTTCGGAGGGGGCCGTTAGTTTTCAAACAACTGCGCAGCCAGTTCTACTGATACTGAACGCAGTAGCTACCGGTATTTATAATTTCACAACCTTACGAGCAGCAATCCGAAGCCTCGCATCACATTATTTTTGTGACGTTTGTCTGTATATTCATGAAATCATAACAATTATTATGATGAAGCAATCTGCGGTATATCTATCATTTTGTGGTGCTTAACATTTAATAACGCCCCCTGGGCGGTAAATTCGGGCGGAGGCGCTATTTTTCAAACGGGTTGTGGGAGGGGGGCTTATTACGGAGGGGGGCCTTATTACGGGGGGAGGTGCAAATTCGATAATTACGGTATTTTAATCGGGGAACTGAATCAACTCGGGCCCGAATTGGACGGGCCGCTAAAATCGTATTCTGATTCACGACACGCGAATGAATCAATGGAAGCAATACCGAAAATTTTGCTATCGCTATCGCTGTACCTGCTTCGGAAGCGACAAATACTTTGTTTATTCCTTAATTAGCTCGCTACTTTTTTTGATAGTTGCAATGTTTTCACGGCGCCTTGTAGTGACCAATAGAACCGAAATTTTAAAAACTCCAAATAATCGTAATTTTTATAAGTGGAAGACCGGTTCTTCTGCAATGCACCCATGCAGTCCAGTTCCTGTTGATAATTCCTTTTTGGTGGAATTTATTGATGCTTATGATTTGAAATTATTGTGCAGAGCTTCTCGACCGGAGCACAGCGAAGGTCCTTTAATTCAGCAAAACCGAAAAAGTGTCTGTCTATCACGCTGTCTGTTTGTCCCGGAAGTGCCCCGATGACATCTTTAGCAACTGTCCCTGATAACGTCACCCAGTCCTTAAAATTTACTGGGTAAATGAAGTGGTCATACTGCCATACTTGTGCACTGCACAATCCCTCGAACGAAAGTAAAATGGAAAATCATTAAATTTTTCTGTACCGTAGAGATTCTGTGAGACTGTGGCTCGGTCTAATCTGGAAGTAGAAAAATACTTTCTCACTGCATTCCTTCCTTATTACGTCTTCCTTAATACTTATGCCTCTAATACAGTGTATTTTTTAGATATACATAGACTGTAATGACACAGGTTTAAGGAACGCTCCAGGGACCGGGCAGCGCACACGAGTCGTCGGCCCGTTTTAAGATCAAAGAGACCGACGGTCCGTGTGCGCTGGCCACGCCTCTCTTACGTTTTAACCTTGAGGCAAATACAGTGCTGTTATCCAGGAAATTGCACCGAGTCGGGCTGGGTAGCACAGCATAGCCAATCAGCATATTATACAGTGAACTGTGTGAGATTGAACAACTGCGAAAATTGCACAACTGCAATACTGAACGCCCGTATTGGAAGCGGCGCGTCTCGTATACTGCGAAAGCAACGCGTCTATTGTACATTTTCTTACACTGAACACTATTGAAGGAACCGTAGGCGTTCAAATTACACAGGATTTACTGTATAAATATTCTAATTATACTGTTGGATTAGTATTCTTTTTATGCGTGCCTGCGTAAAATCGAAGCTCAGCACAAAGGCTTACACCTAACAGATCTATGATATTTTCCAACTATCTTTTCCAAATATTCTGAAGTCCATGGAAAGATGAGAGCCATCTTTAGATTTTTCTCAACTGTTGTCGAAGGTTTTTGGTCGGAGCCTCGAAGTGAAATACATTGACAGATACATGTCCGACAACGGCGACCTAGTGCAGGAGTAATTTAAAAGGCAACCGGTATGGGGGATATTACTGTTTTCAGGAGAGGGCCTGACCGTGTCACGGGACGAATACCGGGGGCTACTAATAACTGACGGACTGAACGAACAGGAGAGTTCTGCAACTGTTTATTCAAGTTCACGGCTCTATCACCAAAAGGTGTTCCTAAAGGGAATACCAAAATTAATTATAACCAAAAATATAAAACAAGAATCAAAAAGAACAACAACACTGTCCAGCTCGACCGTGATAGTCGGCTTTGATAGCAGCCAGCCCTGAGGGTTATACAATATACACAGACCCGCCTCCTACCGCACGCATACCCAATCGAGACACTAGCGAAGTGTACTAGTGCCGCTATAATATTATTGGGAAGTGTGAGCCTGAGATAAGAGAAAGCTTAACATATGTATGGTAATGTGAGCATATCTGTACGTAGTGGTGTAGGAAGTTTAGGTGATAATTTACCAGTTGCTGGGTTGTAAGCATGGGGCTTGCAAGCATGTAATTAGGTAAGTGTGTGTAACTTAATGTATGTACTTTAACGCATATACGGTAAATGTTAAGATACGTGTATACACGACGCGCGCGCGGTTACGATTTCCAGTTAATCATTAGAGTAGCGCATGAATGAAGGGAGACTACGGATATACTTTGCTGTTAAGGATATAAGTTAATCCACCATAATTATCTGCCAGTTATTTCGTCAGCCAGCCCAGAAACGCTGCGCTTATTGTCATAAAGAAATGTAAATGACAATGTCATATTATTTTTCTGTTGTGATTAGAATGATGGCGTCCTGGGAAAATACCTGGCGAAATAGCGCTAAACCTACCCTTGGAGTCGTAAACTGGCAGTTGTCGTAAATAATATGCACTTACTATCTGCCTGCAGTTAAACAATTAGTTACCGAACAGAAAATTAACAATAAGCAAAACTGGACAACAGGTTAGTACCGTCGCACAGGTAATTTCGTTATTTTAAATAATTCAGTGACTGAAAACAAATAATTTTCGTTTTTTGTGCTTTGAATTTATCTGCTGCACGTGTCTATAGAAAAAACATTAAACATAGGAAAAAAATCAAAAAATATGAAGCCGTAAAGTTAAGTAAGTAAAATATTTCGCAAATTGCATACATACGAGCAGATATTTACTATTAGTACCACGTCTGAAAAGGTTGTACTGTAGTTATCATCGGCACTTGTGCACCCGTAACGGATACCGCTTATAAGCACCTGAAGCTGATGTTCGTTCCTGCGCTGCTCCATTGCTTCTTCAATGCACGCCGGGCACAGGTACGCCTCCACTCCGTTTCCAGCGGTATTTTACAGCTCGAATCGGTGTCTAATTAATATTCGTCGGTGTATATACATATCAGTACTGTGAAGTTGTACCATGAACAACAAAGGTTAGAGTGGCGCGCAGATGCAGACAGAAACGCGAAGCAAAATAACAGGACCCACCAAATTTTTTTTGAAATCATGAGGTTTTATTGAAGGCACAGTTCCCAGCAAGTGCGACCAAGTTTTGCTCGCATTTGTCCCTCTCTGCCAAAAAATGCCTATTGCTAACATCGTCTACTGTTAATTGTTAGCTATTGTCTATTGTTAAAAAAATGCCTATTGTTAGCAAGTCTGATCTCGCATGCTTCATGGCAGAGTTAACTGCAGACTTTAGTTTTCGAAGCTATACAGAGGAACACACTGGCGTGGCAATTGCGCCAAGAGCGCATAATTTTATTGAGGCGAATTCCAATTTTGTTCTTAAATAGTAAAATTACTGTCCTTGATGTTTTTAAGCTAATAATGCTAAAATCAATTTCCCAAAATAACCCGTACGTACCTCTTTTGCTTCAGTTTCAGCTCTTTCTTACCGACTCGCATACATTTGTAAAAGATTAAGTGTCTGGTCTCTTTAAGGTTACTACAGATTGTCGTACACTTTGCAGAGCCATTCGTAAAGGATATTGGAGTGTCAACACCGCAACCCGCAGTGATGTGTACTTCTAGTCAAGGAAATCGCGCCCGGCTAACTAAAATGTCTAAACTGCCAGCAGGACCGGACGCCGAAAGAGGCGAAAGTATGCGGCGCGAATCGTAGTTTTTAACCCATGAATGCAACGAGAAATTCTTGAGCAAAACCCAATAACAGCGATAGTAAACTGCAATCGCGCTGCAGCCCAAACAATTACTCCATGAACTTCTGAAAATCACCGCGACAGAACTTGCTAACTCTGCCAGAGTATTATTTTTATCGTCGTTTTCCTGGAGCGTCGCGGACGATCCTCAGAGACAAATACGGGACCGTTCATGCATACCACCGCAATCGACTGGGAGACCGGTGCGGCGGGCTCCACGCTAGTCATTTCCTGCACCGGAAGGTACGCATGAATGGCCACCAACGTGTTACCGCAGTCGAACGATAGACGAATGAGGATAATCACCCCATCCGCATGCAGAGCGGCTTGTTTGGTGTGGGAGAATACGAGCGTTCCCTCGGTGCAGGTTGCCGTAATAAAGTCTCCACATGTTCTCCACATCTCATCAGAAAGCTTATTCTCGTTGGTTTCCGTAAATGAGGATCTCAGTAAAAGATGATGGATGTAGTTGAGGAACTAAGTAAATTTTACGAAGCATAGGCTGGCAAAGTCCGAGCGAAAGACGAGTTGATGGGCGTGCGAATGTTCCGGGTCGGTCGAGCTGAGAGAGGGCACATCGCTGGCACATTCGACGACTTGTTGCTACTTCCTGAACTCTATGCGAGTCACCTGAAATCTGATACACATGCATCGTGGTACTTCTATTACAGGTTATTTATGAATTCACAGTTTACATTTTCAGGTATTTTACTGTATTCTGTAGAAACGCAACAATAATATACGCATACAGCATTGTACGGTAGTTTGAAATAGTAGTACGGCAGTTTGCCTTTGTTAAGAGATCGCCGCCACCACTCATTAAGGCGGTGGGCATCGCGCCGACCCCCCCCCTCGTACATCCGATACAGCGCTAAGCGTAGAACAGAATTTTCTGATTTTTTCTCATTCTTCGATTTACCAATTCTCTCGACAGCTCGCAGAGGTCCTCGCTGCCCCAGACTGGATATCCTCCTCTTTTTCCGCAGAAAAGTCTATTTCCTTACGGAGATGGCGCGTTATGGCAGTTTATGTATCAAAATGTAGAACACTTTGGAATTTTTCTAGCTGCCAGGAAAGTCGCAGCAAATTTGTAACGATGTTATGCATCTCATTAATTAAATGATTCCACGGTTAATTTCCACCTGATCACTACACGGTTCCTGAGTTTCAAACGCCTAATCCTTTAGAGAAATTATATGGCTGTATGGATCGCGCAGTACGGGGTCACGAACCGTTACCGCAGCACTTCTAACGCTAACTCAGCTTAGCTCTAAACATAAAGTCTTAAACGTGTCGATTGGTACAGCGAAACATGCTTTTCAGTGATGTGCGCGCATGTGGCAACGTGATGGCAATGTAGACGGGATCCAGTGCGGCTTGCAGAAGGTTGAGGGTCCCGGCGATTTCGTACAACAAATCATTGCTGTATTCTTCCATTAAGACTAGTTTAAAGTAGATGGCATTGAACGATATTAACCGCCACGGAGCCAACCAGCGCCGTGGCGGTTAGTATCGTCAGAACATTGTAATTATTGGATGAGCACACATTCGTTGGGTTTTGGCCGCTACCCCTGGAATCAGAAGCGCCCACAGGAACGGCATCCCGCGGTGTGGTTGCCACGTGCTGCCGTCTGCGCCGCCGTCTTAACATAGCCGGATAGCCGGCGAATACGAGGACTTGCGGTAGCAAATAGCACCAGTATCATTGAAGTCAATCAGTGTCCACTGTGGTGCATAATTTATTAGGCAGAATGGCCGTGAATCGATCATCACACCATACCACAGCGCATGGCGAATAATCTCCGGCAGCAGCAGCGCGTTAATCTACAGCCAGATAAACACGCAGAGGCCGATGGCGACGGCTTTGGTGTGGCGGTTGCGATAGCTGACGGGAAAGGTCACCGCCCAGGGGCGGTTGACCGTGATGAGCATGTGACAGGGGAAGAGGGCCGAATTGACGATCAAATTGAGGTACAGATAATACATACAGCCAAAAAATAAAGTACTTATGGGCACTCCTATTCGGTAGAAAACACTGTGTCTGGCGCCTGGCGAGATGCGCATGCATGTGTATGTAGCATACGTAGACTGTAGGTACTTAATAAATTACTTTATTA